ACTATAGAATAATGAATTTACTTAAAATTTTCAAACAAAACAAGACTTTTTAAACAAGAGGCCCAAGGGCCTTAACGGTCACCTGAGTATGATACAACAATTTAAAGGATGCATAGAGTATACTATGAACTGAAAGGTGAAACTTTGTTGCCAAAAAGCAAGAAAAATAGGGTGATCATGATCAACAAAATAATTGGTCTTAATATTCATTAACAGTTTATAAATTATGTTCTATAAATCTGATCCCCATTTATCACTATCACCATACAGTATATTAACAAATTATCAATGCTTCTGTACTATTTTAATCCTTTGTTGAAATTTCTTACATTGGCCTCTCTTGGTCCTTGATGAACATTTAATAAGACAAGTTATTTTTGTCTCATTTTTATTTATCTACTACTTACGTCTATCTGATCATTAAAACTATGAAAGTACTTTCTGTATTATACAATAAAAGTTTTTGCATAATTATCTTATTCTATTTACCTTTCAAGTACATTATTTACAGTGATAAATTATCAAAAGTAAATGGCAAAGGGGAATAACTCCTCTCAGTATAATACAAAATAATAGAGCCCTGGCCAGGACCAGAACACTTGACCAAATGGTCCAGATGTTCAAAAATCTGGTAAAAATAATCTTCCTTATTAAAACTTTTACTCTTTTTACCTCTGATATGCCCAGGTGCAGAGAAGATTTTTAAAGAAATAATGCATTTTTACTACAGATTCACTATATTATCAATAGAGCCCCCCCCCCCCCCCCCCCAACACCAGAGCTTCTGACCCTGGGACCATAAGTTTGCTCATCATAACTAATCACTTTGTTTATTTGCTAAACACCAAGGAGCAAACAGGATTATTTAATAGAATTAATGCATTTTTACCATATTATCAAGAGCCCCACCCTCACACCAGCACATCTGACCCAGCAAATAAATTTTGCTTTTTCACTTTATAATCAATAGAAGCCCCCCCCCTCCCCCACCACCAGAACCCTTAAATCTGGGGTCATAAAATTCACAATTTTGGAAGAGGCATCCTTGCCTATCATAACAATGTACTTAGTTTGTTTAAACAATACCCAGGGGCAGAGAAGAAGATTTTCAAAGAAATAATTCACCTTCACTACAGGATCTATATAGCCCCACCCTAGCACCAGAACTCCTGTCCCCGGGGCCATGAATTTCACAATTTTGGAAGAGGCATCATTGCTTATTATAACAATGTACTTAGTTTGTTTGAATAATACCCAGGGGCAGAGAAAAAGATTTTTAAAGAATTAAAACATTTTCACATTAAATCAATAGAGCCCGCGGCGCTCTAACACCAGAACCCCTGATCCAGGAGCCACGAATTTCACAATTTTGGAAGAGGCATCCTTGCTTATCAAAACTATGTATTTAATTTGTTTCAATAATACCCAGGAGCAGAGAAGTAGATTTTCAAAGAATTAAGGCATTTTCACTATATAGTCAATAGAGCCCCGCCCTAACACCAGAACCCCTGCCCCTGGGGCCATGAAATTCATAATTTTGAAAGAGGCATTCTTGCTCATCATAACTATGTACTTAGTTACTTTATTTAATACCCAGGAGCAGAGAAGAAGATTTTCAAAGAAGTAATGCATTTTCACTATATAATCAATAGAGCCCCGCCCTAACACCAGAACCCCTGCCCCTGGGGCCATGAAATTCACAATTTTGAAAGAGGCACTCTTGCTCATCATAACTGTGTACTTAGTTACTGTATTTAATACCCAGGAGCAGAGAAGAAGATTTTCAAAGAAGTAATGCATTTTCACTATATAATCAATAGAGCCCCGCCCTAACACCAGAACCCCTGACCCTGGGGCCATGAATTTCACAATTTTGGAAGAGGCACTCTTACTCATCATAACTATATACTTAGTTAGTTTATTTAATACCCAGGAGCAGAGAAGAAGATTTTCAAAGAAATAATGCACTTTCACTATATAATCTATATAGCCCCTCCCTAGCACCAGAACCCCTGACCCTGGGGCCATGAATTTCTCAATTTTGGTAGAGGGGTCAATGCTTATTACAATCATGCCAACAGTTTGACTGCTTGATGTCCAGGAGTAAAGAAGATTTTTGAAGATTGCATTAATTTTGGTGGTTTTAGCCCCACCCCTCAGGCCCCAGGGGGGCAGGGATCATGAAATTCATAATTTTTGTTCCCCTTCACCCATAGATGCTATATGCCAAATTTGGTTGAAATTGGTTGAGCGATTTCAGAGAAGAAGCTAAAAATGTTCAAATGTTAACGCACATCGCACGACGACGGACAAAAACGGATAGCAATAGGTCACCTGAGTGACTCAGGTGACCTAAAAATTCAAATGTAATTAAAATTAATAATAACGGATTGAAGTTTTAAAATATATCAAATGAATATGATTTTACAAACAAACTACAATTTTCTTAGCTTTTAAAAGCTTTCAATCTAAGTAAAGATTTGAGCAAAAAATATTTAAAAAGTGTTTTTCTCTCTTAGTAAACCATCAAAACTTGTTGTTTTTGTGTCAATTTGTATCTTTATATGACTGCTTCATCGTTTGTAAAAATAAGAAAAATTTAAATTTACGAAGCATATATTTACATTTCCAATGTCTTTGTCCGAGATAAAATTACAAATTGTAAAAATACTTTATTTCTACATAAATCTACTGTAGGTGCGGTTTAAAAAATCACGTGCGGGGCGGGACAAATAGAGACAGAAGCGGGGTTATTAGCACGGGAATTTTCAGAATCAGCAGCATATAAATATAAGGAATAACTGTCAGATTTTTTGGATTCATGACGATGATCAATCAATTGGCTTGCATGATAATTTTATGCATAAACGCCTTCGGCGTTTATGCAAATTATCACGCAAGCCACTCGATTGATCACATCATGAATCCAAAAAATTAGACAGTTATTCCTTAAATAAAAATGACTAAAATATCCTAACAATTTAAGAAAAATTGAGGAAATTCGGGTTAGCCAATATCTACATGTACTTTAGTTGAATTATGCATGTTGATTCGGTGGTATCAACTGAAAGACCCTATATGGTAGTATCTTTTTACGCAGAAAGAAAAACATTTTAACTTTTGAAATAGAAGAAGGCATCACATGATTGGAAACAGTGTTTCTTTATTGTTAAAGTGAAGGAAAAAGATATGACCTTGACCTGACCTTTGTTCTAAAATTTAATCTTACTGATACCATCACTTAGTGATTATGTCTTCTTGATTCTATGAAAATTTCGTCAATTTTTAGATACAAGAAATATGATAAGAAACCCTCCTTAAGAATATGACTCTCAATTCTTCATAGATTACATTGGTTGTTATGTTCACATAACAAAAAAACTTTGATAAGATGCTAATTGCATTGTAAAATTTGCCTAATCACAATTTTACAGCATGCTTTGAAAAATCCTTAATAAAATCTTTACCCCCGGAAAACTGGCTCTAGAGTAGGATTCTCCGGAAAATGACTCTAGAGTAGGATTTGCCCTACAGAAATTCCACATAAGATTCAATTTTCTGTTACAACATAGCAAAATAGTTTGAAAAATTAACTATTCCAAAATGCGAACATTCATTTTATAAAATACTTGAATAAAAAAAATGAATTTATTTCATTCATGAAAAAGTAATTAAAGAAGTGCATTAATATTTTTTTTTCAAAACATGAAATCCTGTGCTTGTATATTTTCTTTTTTGAATTTAAAAAGCTATGAATGAAAATGAAGAAATAAAGCTGAAATGATATAAACAAAGATGTTTATACCCGTTACCATGGTAACATTCTTAGTTTGAATTTTTAAATCTTGATTGCAAATGTATATATTTATGTATATTTTGTACCAGCAATGATTTTACATAAACATGTCCTGTAATCTTGATTCTGAGTATCAAAGCAGTTGAAATTCCTACAGAGAATCTCTTAACTCTACATAGGTTACATTGGTTGCTATGTGCTCAGAATCGTTGCCATGGGAAAATCAAGTGAAAAATAAAATTTTATAAGATGCTAATTACATTGTAAAATTTGCCTAATCACAATTTTACAGCATGCTTTGAAGAATCCTTAACAACAGGTACATGAACATGCTAAAATTATTATTCTATGATGTGTTGCTAAGGGGAAATTGCTGTTACCATGGAGATTACAAATTGTAAAACATTCCATAGCTTGCAGAGAGGTCTCAAAAATTTCAATTTATTGTAAAATTTGTTTTGAATATTCAAAGATAACAAGGTATGTGTTTTATGACTTTAGCATTTTACATTTTTTCTCTTTTTATTCATCAAAACATCCATTTTTTGTTGCTAGGCAACGGATAGGAATGTTTAAAAATTATACGCTTCTGAATTCAAATTCTAAAAGACAAAATCCTCTGCTTTTATGTTATATACACAGGATATCTGTATGAGGTCCATCACTGGAGTAATTAGGCATTGAATAATTCCAAAATCAAGGAAAATGCTGAGTCAGCAAAAAAGGAAAACCATGCATATATTCCCACATATATCACAGATATATCTTTAAATCTTATTTCTATATTTTTGATTGTGAAAACTGTTAAGATCATTATCTTGAGAATAACAGCAATGAAAAAGAAATTCTTTTAGTATTTACATTTAATTTGAGCCTGAAAGATAAGAGATTTTTTAGTCCATCAAAGCTGAAAATCGGCTGGTTGCTAGGGAAAATTCTTTACCCATGTTTCCATGGTAACCGTGAATCAAAACATTTTTCCTTTTGCATACATGGTTCATAGGGCAAAAGAAAACTATGTGTGGAAAATCATCGAATTCTGAGAACCTTCATATATCACCCTTTGCATGATTTTTACACAGAACTGTACTTAACTAGGTATTGGGGTTAAATATAACCAGTATTTTTGCACGTCTATATATATGTTTACAAGATTTATGCTCTGTTCACCTGAATTAAGCGCTTCCTTGATCCGTTGGTGTAGTATTCTGAATGCCTCAAATGTATGTAAAAGTAATTCTAAGTGTGACTTTGATGACTGGATCTACATTTGGATACGGTAAGTTATTTAGCGAATGAAGCGAATGGCAGGATTCTATCTACATTATGATGTGGCTCAAAAATATTTCATTATGAAGGCTTTAAAAAAATCGCCAGCATCTTACATGTATTTTATCAATGGTTATATCCTATATAGCACATGGAATGTGTTCTGATAGCTTATCATATTTCTTCTTTTTAATAAACATAATTTTCATCATTGTTCCATTTGAGTACCTTTTCTTCCAAACACCCGATGAATTCAAGTTAAACTTCAACATTAAACATGTTGTGAATGCTCAATGTTTTGTAGTTAAATAGGTAATTTATTTCACGAATGGGACAGGGTATTTTTAAGAGTGTGAAGCACGAGTGAATAAATATAATAAAAAAATCTGTCTCACGAGTGAAATTAATGCAACATTTTACTACAAAACATCTAATTTTCTATTGATTACGTTTTCTTTGATTTTTTTTATGCATCTGTTTTTTCGTTACACAATGTCATAGGCTGTGATGTTATAGTTGAGCTGTTAAGACGTCATAGCTAAGCGGTTGTGAGATTGAAACATTGTAAATATGGATTTCCACAAAACATTTGTAGAAACTTTGACAGTTTTAGTAGCTGTCACATGTGTCAGGATGGTGTTATTACCGTCTTCCTTGGAATACGGTATACAGAGTTGAAGTATTTTACAGTCTTCGGACTTTGCACTTCCTCTCTTTTGTGATTGGTAGAAATTGCATGATGAGAAAATTTTCAATTATTTCATTGGTTGAAATGCTGTTCAAGGCAAGGGAGATAATTTCCTGATGGTCTAATTTTCGTACGACTTGCCAATTTTTCAAGATTTATATGACAAAACGAACAGTGGAAATTGACAGCAATTAAGGACCCTCTATACACTAGAGGAAAATATTTTTTGGACATTGAGAAAATTATAGTGTGTAAAGATTTAAGAGGCAGTCCACCAAAAAACCAGGCAATGGGTGGCACATCGCATGTCATGGATTTTAATTATTTTTTGCATGTAGACTTATTAAAGCAAATGTTTATACATGGCAACATCAAAATTTTTTTTAGTGTTCCTCTAGTCCTGTTTTTGGTTAGTGCTTAATTTTAAGTGCAAAAAGGTCAACAAGTTGGTTAAAAATTTACTACGTTTTTGTTTTGTTTTATTTGAAACAAATACTCAAAAACTGGATATGTCAATAAATATTATTTATAGTATAAACCCTTATCTTTTATAATATCAATGAATAAGACACCAATTTATATATCTTTAGAAAAAATTATGTGGTCTAAACTTGAGTTAAGCAAGTGACTTAATGAATTCACTATCCAATTTTCATTACGTTCTAAAATCCAATACATTTAAATGTCAAAACTTTCTCCGCATGTTATTATGAATACAAAGTACAAATTGTTGAATCAATTTAAAAAATTGGTGGGAACAGGTATATTGAGAGAAATAAGAGGCGTCAAATTATCTACTTTTTATAAATTTATCCAAATTAAACCGATCTCGACCGGAATTATATAAATAGGAAAGCTACTATGATTTCATCATGATACTTGGTTGTTTTGTTTTAATATGGTTTACAAATTACTTGATTTATTTTTAAACATGTTTTCTAGGTGGCAATTACCATTAATTTGTTTACTTAATAATTTTGCATAAATTTCGATCGGGATCGGTTTTATTTCAATCGGGATTGGTTTCTATATTAAAAATTAGAAATATTTTCTAAAATCGGCTCTTCGTTGTATTTTATCGTAGGAATATGTCTGTATTTTATTTCTTTTCTGTGAGTTACATGTTTTGGATGATTTTATCCATAGATTACATATATCTTAATTACTAAATGTTTTTTTTCAGGTCCATGATGATCTTTTTAATTACTTGTAAAACATCTGTTTGATTTCTTGATACACACCTATTCAAAAAGATATTTGTTTCATGTAACAATTAATAGCAAATTTTAAGCTTAATAAAATATCTCATTTCCAAGGAAAATATTTTTCTAAATTATCTGGACTAAAAAGAAAATCTAAAAAAAAAAAAAAAAAAAAAAATAGTCCTGCAGTGGCGAAATTATACATGCACGTACTTTAATCCTGCAAGTATTTTTTATGTGTACAGCCTCGGCTTTAATTCCAATTTTTTTCATCCATTCATCATATTAAGGAATATTTTCATGCTCTAAGAAATTTAATTTGAAATAAATAGGAAAAAAACCTGTACACTTACATACATATAATCATGATAATAGAGCCCAGAAATGATCGCACGAAAAAAAAAAAAAGCGGGGGGAGGGGGGTTTCGTCTGGGCGGCATCCGTTTTGTAACTGGTTTGATAATAATGAGATATTTTGGAAATTTACCAACCTACTGACTTATTTTAACTCAATATAGAGTATAAGGATATGTGGAACAATTGTCAAATTTTAAAAACGAAAATAAAAAAAAAAAATGTTCCATTGACTCATCTGCCGTTTTAGTGTCAGCTTGAAGTGGGGCGTCCAGCAGTAGAATTGGCAACATTTTCCTCATTAAGTAGTAAATTAATAGAATTCTATAACTTTTTTTTCTATTTCAGATTTTACATTTTAAAAATAAATAAAGTTTAAACAGAATCTGAACCACCGACACTAATAGTAAACAGCCATTGCTAATATTAGTGAAGTGGGATGTGACGAGTACTTTCGTTCTTACAACTGTTAAAACTTATTCGGTCCGACAGTCGTATAATGCTGATATTTGATATTACTGCATATAAGTTAACATATTCAAGTATTAACAACACTTCATGAAGTGTACATCTCGACTTTGCTGAATTTAATGTTGCGTAAATTTGGAATATTCATTAGTACTGAATATTAAGAAATAATCCTTAATCTTTTCACATCCAAATTTTATCCTATTATGATTACTGTAAAGACGTTTTGTACATGTATAAAACTACTTATCAATACTGACTTGTTTTAAAACATCTATAGCTGAGGCGTCGCCCGTGAATAAAATACATTCTGGATCACAATATTATTTAATGCACTCGGAAAAGTAATTGGACAGAAATAGAAATTATTTAACGTAACTTTTTAAAAATCTTTTTCTTTGCACGTTTACATAAATTCACCAACTTCCGCGGAATATTTGCAACTATTGTGACGCAATATTAGATAGGTATTTGACGTCACTGATACATCAATGGAAACGTGGTTTCAACCTGAATAATAAAGCAAATTTTAGACTAAATATTATGTTTAGATTTGAAAATTAATTCCGTTTTTGAAAATAAACCAATTATTTTTAGTTGAATGATATTCTTTAGCGTATCAGTTCTAAATTTCTCACAGGGGTTCTGATACCACTGGCGGATTTAAGGGGGGGGGGGGCGCACGCCCCCCCCCCCCCTAAAATCTTCAAAGTATGACATGACTAATATTAATAATGCCATTCTTTGGTTTTATAATCAATGGTCAATTAAAAAATGGCAATTTTATTTAATGACCAAGTATCGGTTTTCTTAAAAATCAAGTCTGAAAACCTTGCATTCCCTAGGCTATGAATATTATCTCATAATTATTCAAACCGGAAAACGTCTCCCGATTTCGTTTGAAGGGTAGACTACACTTGTCAATTTCCTATCATGATGCAAGGAAAAATACTGCAATATTTAAAGGCTGGTCGAAGGTAAATACTATAGTAAATGAATCTAAAATCAGACGGTCTACGTTACAAACCCGCCCACTGATTGATGTATTTATTTATCAAATGGTGTAACTATGCAGTAATTTACTTACATAGATACAAGACTTTTTTTCATTACACACATCTCATAATCTTTCCATATAAATGGAATTTAACGTCAGGATGTAGGTTACGATGGTGTAACATCGACCACCTGGTTAATCTCGACCGTTCATAAATACCTTAAAATAATTTATTTATAATCCATTATAGCGTACATACATCTACATGTATTTTATGCAGAAAGAAAATGCATTTTTCTTATACAAATCAGTGTCGATAATAATAGGCGGAATTTATTTCTTCACTGGAAAATTACATCCAAGAAGAAACTTTATCGCCCGAAAAATTACGGACGAGTATTTTTAAACCATTGCGGGGCATTATCAGTTTATCACCTCTGAAAATATCTTGTATATATAGAAAGACACAGTGGATATTCCTGGCGTGAAATTTATCAACTATGTTTAATTTTGCAACTTAAATTCATACCTTTTTAATTTATAATATTTACAAATAAAATGCAAATCAGTTGCCCTTTTCACAAAAAATCTTAAGTTTTTGCATAGGATTTCAACTTAAGAATCTCTTACGACAAATCTTAAGTGTGTTTCACGAACGCATTCGTAGCAGATTGAACTTAAGATTTTACTTACGACAGACTTCATCCCTAGCAACGACTTCAATATGCTTTATAATCCTTAAATAAGTGGGTGAAAATAAAAATACAACTTAGTTTTAAACATTTGTCAGCATAACAAACATTATTGACAACAAACATCGAATGCAATCGTTTGTGAAGCAAGGAAGTTAAAATCTGACGTCACAATCACAAGTTTGACGTAAAAGTAGGTCATATGAAAATCTTAAGTGAAACTTACATCGTAAATATTTTGTAGTGTATTTCATTTAATTTTTCAACAATGATTGTGAAATAATATAAAATATTATTGGAAGTTGCTTTTAAAAGTTCAATTTAACGTGTATTTTGATTTTTGCGGTCTTATTTTTACAATAAAATCGGTTTTAAAATATTAAGAGAGGGTTGGGGCTCTCGTAAAGTTACGACAGATTTTGCACTTACGACTTTCTTAAGAATTTTTGTGAAAACGATTTTTATCATAAGTTTTAACTTAAGATAAAAATATATCGTAAGATTTTTTGTGAAAAGATTCACAGCTGAACAGAAATCGGCCGAAGTTACCCATGCATGAATACGGCGTCAGCGGGTAATTCAGTTAGACAAATGAAAAAGACGCAATGCAATTTGTTACCAGAAAAAAATCATGACCACCGTCCGTATAAAAAAAATATTAGGATAAGTATTATGTACAAGTATACTCCGTAGAAACTAGTTCTATAACAGTGAAAAAATCATCTGTTCTGTTTACATGTGGTTTAGATGCCTGCGCATATACATGTATATACATTTGTAGCATGCCTTGACAAATCGGTAAATCAGTCTTTGGGCACCTGGTGCACATCATGTCTTCAAATTAGGTACATTTTGAAAATTACTTCTTTTTTGTCAGCATTTTTTCACAATCTTTTATGTTTTACAACAGAATAATTTAAAATTAATATATATATATATATTTAAATTAGAGGTGACGCGAATAATTTCGTTTATATTTGCACATCGATCGAAAATCCCCGTGTGCGGTCGAAGTTACCCAACACGCATATCTTGTAAATCGAACATATTTATTTTATATCATGACGAATAATACATATAATACAATGTAATCTGAACAATAAAAGGTATTCCGAAGGAAAATGGATCCAGTAAAAGTTGAGCGTAATACATGTAACAGGCAGTGACATACTTGAACAAATCTAAATAAAACAAAATAATAATCGGTCGAAATTACACCACGGTACTTTGAAAAACATTCTGATTTTTGTGACTTCTTGTATATCTAGGTAAAATGCTATTTTTAAAATCTGATCTTGTTTGTTCGTTGTTGTTTTTTTTTTTTTTTTTTTTTTTTGTTTGTGTGTGTGTGTGTATGTGTTTTTTTCTCTTTTAAAAAGTGAAAAATCGTAGTGTACATAACTAATTAATACCACTATTTTTGTGTCTGGTTTTACTCTTAAAATTCACGAAAACCCAGGAGCTTCCAAGGGCTTCGCCCCCTGGACCCCCACCAGGGCTTCGCCCAGACCCCCTGCCTGAAAGAAGTTATCCACGCCCCCCCCCCCCCAATCACAAATCCTGTATCCGCCCTTGGATAGTAAGATGTTTAGATGATTTCCCGATGCTACAGGAGATAACTCTTGCATCACAGAATTTCATAAAAATGACTGTCTATTTTGCAAGAAAACTACTATTGAAAATATTTTTCCCACTGATTTTATTTTTTGAATTGAAAGATGAAATATTTCTTGATTTAGTTTGGAGTGAATTATAGATCTGTTGAAAATGTATTAGAATTTACAGTTCTTTATTTCCGACCAACATTCAATGGTTTATATAGGGGAATTCAAGAACACAAAACAAAACATTATTTTAGTAAATAAGCTATTTTCAAACAAATCTTTACTTACATTATTCCATATGGACTACATTAATATCATTTTCAATAAAATATCAAATATTCGTCACATTCGATGTGCGGCCTATTAATACAAAACTGCCTGGTTTTCTGGTGGACTGCCTCTTAAGTATTGAGCTTATCTATCACATTTTCAACATAGGGTGCCTTGCATTCACCCCCAAGAAAAATGTTCAAAGACAATGAAGTACTGATGAACATAAATCACTGTTGTTTACTTAAGTGGGCAAAATATCTGCAAATGAAGTGTTTTATCTATTCATTTTGACCTATTAAAGTGTTATGAATGCTTGATTTGATCACAAATTAATCAATAAATTATACATTTCAATTTATTTTATTCTTGATCAAAGGGCAGATCACTCTACTTGCATAAAAATACCACAAAATCATAACTCTCTACTGTGCAGTGTATAGAGGTCTCTTAATTGGAAATAACATGCTAGTTTTTTTTATAGGAATTACCAAAAAGCGTTTCTATATGTTCATTGTTAACAGAAGTGATCTTTATTGCATGCAAGCTTTACAGCTTGTATGTATTCTTTTTCCCTTTGTTTTGCACTGTCTTTCTAATCTCGGCAGCACTCGGCAGATTCGTACCTCACAAAAGTGACGGAATCAGTCGAGGTTTGCCGAATGATCTCAGCAGCCGAGTTAATGTTTACGGAGACAGCCGAGCATCTGTTAACGTTTCACTTGGTAGGGCTTATGTCAGAAAAACTAATGAAGAAATACAAAGCCAAGAAATTTTCAAGAATTATACGGCCTGATAAGTTTAGGTCAGTTTATTGTTTAAGGTTGTTGCTAAAGACGGTAAGCTTTCTTAAAAAGCTCTACTTGTTTACTCTTTCTTATAACAGTCGGAGTGGTGTTTTACAATTCTCACAATGACAGAGTATAATTTATGTATTCTTTCCCACTGTGTCAAAATAGTGCTTTAATTCAATAAATAAATTACGTTATTTTCTGTTGAAAATTTAATGAAAATGTAACTCCTATTTAATAATTAATTATAAATAATAGGGCATAATAATATACGAGACAATTATTTTTTTTTTTATCTATTAATTAATTATTTGTTTTCTATTTATTTTGTGTGTTTAAGAAAACATTGCTTTACTTAAACCAACTTGGCAGTATGCGGAATATAGCTCGAGGGATGGTAGATTCCATGCCAGTAATGCTGTTGATGGACTTAAAAGTAATCTCTCAGCCTTGGGAGGACAGTGTGTCGTATCTGCAAATGAAAGAAACAGTGCCACATGGTTGGTGGATCTTAAATCCATCCTCAGCATACACCACATTACGATTTATTATAGAACAGATAACTCAAGGTGGGGTAGGTATCAGTACTGAAGGGGGACATGTTCAATAAAAATTTGTAACTGGGAATCATTTTATAGGAAATACCTTAGTTTAAGCTTTGATGTGTGTACATGTAGATAGTACTTGAATTGTGTACTGATATGAAGGTAGCCAACATATGAATAAGTTTATATTGTCTTGCTCTTTCATTTTGAGCTGACAAAACAAACGTAATTAAAATATTTATGCAAGCTTGATTCTTAAAAAAGCACAAACACACAATAAGTTATCTCTGGGAAATTTTTTTGTGTGTTTTTTTTTTTTTTTTTTTTTTTTTTTTAATTCCAATGTTCTCTTTAATTATTTACAATTAACACAAAACTTGTCTTCTAAAAATATATAAATCCATATGATATTGCATTACATGTAGAATTGATAAAATAAAGATTATATTACAGTATTGTTTGCTTAAAGAGTATTTTAATGGACTAAATTAAGAGTTGAGTTTTACAGTGCCACTTTTTAAAGTAAAGAATATCCCCATTACTTATCAAACAAAAAATAACTAATCTCCCCCTTATCGAAGTTACCCCCACCCCCAGAAGTAACTATGATTCATAAAGTATTTATTGTTTTAATAAAAAAAAAAAAGAAATAAACAAATTGATTTAAGGGGGTCGAATTTTCAATAGAACAAAGTCCATTATATGACGGAGTTCATTAAAAGACACAATTGCATTCGAGTGAGATTTAAAAAAAAATTGCAATCAAAGTCCAAAATAACTGACCAGTGGTGATAGTTGATACTAGCAGAAAAGCGAGTGAATTTCTTTTAAATATATTTGGAATGGTCAACTTGGAAACTTTTAAAGACCTCAGTTGATAAACATAACGCCACCATTGATGTCCCAATATATATTTTTGAGAAAGGTATGAAGTCATAATTGAGCAAGAAAATGTTGTTGAACAACATGGACTTTGTGTGCAAGATAAACTTAGAGTTAAACTATGGAAGTTACAGACAAATTGTTGTTTATGTATGATTATAAGAAAATAATTTACAAAGTGCAATGATTAATGGGTTATCTCAATTTGACGTACAGATATGTGTTCTAGAACTCTAAAACTGAGATATATTCATGTATATTTATGTTCGCTTTGTATTTCATTTTTGAGTCACGTGTTGATATTAAGTCTTTCTTTATTACAAGTGTATGCAGGAAAGACTTCTTTATACTGTATCTTTTCAGTCCCTATAAGAATTATAAAATATAAAAGAATCATAATTTCTTGAGATACGGTACATTCATAGCCATGTGAGCTATCGATTAAGGTTTATTTTATCTTGCAACTAATTTACGATATTATAATGATTAAAATTCGATTAGAATTCTTCAGTTTGAATCAGTAATGATTATACGAATGAATTGATAAATTGTTTTTTAAAGACTCAAAATAGTTTATTTAGGCCAAATGATATTTCCCCCATGGTATTATTCAAATGGTGCAACTCCAAAGGACAATTGGATAATTTTAAATTCACATTGCTGTGTCACACTGTATACACAGTGTAATAAACACTATTTCGCAGGATGTGCTTTTCACCTTACGTCAGAGGTAGCTGTGACATGTACTGTGACTAATATTAAGAAATGATAGTTAACTTCCTCACAACTATGAATAAATTGTAAATGCAATGATTTACCTTCTGTGTACGCTAGAGCAATTACTTTGTAATAGTAAAAACTGTTTTCTAACAGCAGATAATGAGTTGCAACGTCTTTTAATGAGAATCGGTAAATAGTGAATGTTTCATGTAAGCATACTTTCATGCTCTCAATGCTACTATTGTTCTTTAGATAGAGTTGATGGCTACAACACAAGATTTTTGGGATTTTATGTTTACATCTCGAACACAACTAACAAAAATGATGGAATCCTTTGTTATCATGACACGAACTACACAAAATCAACCATTCCACCTGTAATCAACATACGATGCCTTTTCCATGGAAGATATGTAATCTATTATAATGAGAGGCCGCAGTATTTTCAACCGTCTAGTGAATATTCTCAATATGCATACAATGAGTTGTGTGAAGTTGAAGTTTACGGTAGGTTTATGCACATGATATTGAAAACAAACTGTTATCAATTTTTGAAATAAGTCCCTTCTGAAACTCTTTCAAAATAGTAAGCAAGAAATTATTTTGATCAGCGTAATGTGGCATGGTGACCTTCAATAAAGTAGCTATGGAAATTGTAAGAATGATACACCGTTTACTGCAAATTTTGAGAAATATCTCTTTTACAAGAAATTGTTCATCCTTAATTATTTCATTTTTAGTTTTAAATCTTTGACGATATTTTTCTTTTCCATGAACCTTTTCAAAGAGTATATTTCGCAGTTAAACAGATTTATCTTGCAATTAAAAATAAATTTCTGCCCCCGTTTTATCTATTTTATCAGCAAATGAATTTTTTTCTGCAAATTGCCATACTAGCTTACAAATTAAGGCATATAACTTAATTGTCATTGTCTGGATTAGATTAGCTGTTCTGTCATATTATTTTCTATGGGCCTACGGACCCGATTTAAGGATGATTGCGTTTGCGTGATGGCAATATAGAAAAAAAATATTGAAATATGCGCCTATACTATAAAGAATCCAACGTGTTCCGAATGTCACCATGGCGTGTAAATTACAGGGATTATTATTTTTATTTTTATTATTGTTTTCTTTAGACTGAAGGTATATCCAATCTCAAAAAGGTTTGTTTTGATTAATTTGGTAGTTATACAATGTACATGTAGTTTCTTAATTCCAAAACCGTGTCAGAGCGATTCCGCAATTTTCTGTTACATTGCAGGTATATGGGAGACATTCTTACTGTGGCAAAGGACCGTTACTAGACACTGTTGGATTATTCTTACTATGTCTAGACACTTCCTTCTGGGGGAGTTTTTAAAGCTTAAGTCTTTTAACCCTCTTCCCCGCAGTCTCGCATTTTAACGCATATACCATTTCCTATTTCTAACGCAAAATCGCGCATATACCGTTTCCCCGCAATCACTCATTTTCACGCACTTTCAAAAGTAAAATTTAATCGTCAATTTAATGCCAATTCCCTTCTAATTTGTACTTGCTAAAACTTCATAAAATAAGAAATGTTATAATGTTATTAAAATATTACGTCATAATTATTTACGCTAAACTTTAGAGAAACTTGTACCTCGCTATAAAGTGCTTGCGGAGAAAAGGTAACGTCCTATTTCTATGACGTGAACATTAAGTGTATGTTGCGTCACAGTTCAGTAAGTTGTAAAGAGTTAAGCATACTTTTACAGCTTTCTCAATAATTTTGGGCATAGATATACTTTAAATTTGAAAAAAAAATCACTTTCTTCATTCATAAATTGGTATCGCATCCATCAACATCTAAAGGTTATAATGGTCAGAATTCACAAAAGCCGAATTTTTCATCTCTAGATTCTGCATACTGAATTAAAATTCAAGGTTTTCATATAGCGAAGGTTGTTTAACCGTAGAGTGACCAGAGATGTTATATAAAATCTTGTTTTCAAGAACGTCTTTTGAATTTAATAAAATATATTTGAAAAAGCAAATGATTTTTCTCGGGAATTTAAATGGATGCATGCTCATTGGAAAAAGTGTAGACATAAACATCGTTTAATTTTCTTTAAAAATATAATAGATTAAAAATTGTGTTATATTTAGAAAAAAAAAAATGCGTAAATGTAAATAGAGAGAGAGAGAGAGAGAGAGAATACAGTGCCATTTTTTTTACAACAACCGAAAAATTGCGCTTAAATTCGTAAAAACTGGTTTTGCAACTTTTAATAAGCGTACAAAAACGTAATATATACAACAGCTGACATGACTAATGCGTTAGAATACGTAAGAACCTAAAAGAAATCGTTCGACTTTAAAACAAATTACCTAAAAGTATGAAAAGTTTATATGGAATGTATTGTAAAATGACAAAAAATTTACTCCTCTTTACGCTGTGGATATTGAAAGTTTTTTTCCTCTTTTTTTTTTTTTTTTTTTTTTTTTTTTCATTTTTATGCCTTTAATTACCTTCCAGTGGTCCTTCAGGGAATCGCTCTTGGCTATATTAACCTGGAGTTTTATAAAAAAAAAAATTATGTTTTACGGCTTTGTGACTCAAGAAGTGAGAGAAGGTTGAAAGGATTTGGTATCACAACATTTGCAAAAGAAAAGAATACTATTCAACAAAAATGTGCCATAGATTGTTCTATAAAAATAAAGTTGTTAGCGTGCGAAAAAGGTTCAAGGGGATCAAATTGATTTATTGTGTTTTACGCCAAGTCGGCAATATTTCAGCCAAATGGGGATCAAAGGGGACATAGGGTCATTCAATGGAAAAGGCATAATATACAATAGTGGTTGAAGTATACGGCAGTGAAGTCAACCGAATAGTTTAACATTATCAAAACAAGACACTGTAGGTTTTGTGGTCAATCATAATATATTCATATGCGTTTTGGAATAATAGAAAGTCAATATACCGTAAAACTTCTCTAATCTGGACACCACTGGTTCCAAAGAAGGCAACATCTCGGATTTGACAACATTTAAAACAACTGAATTTACTGCAAGGGACTTAAAGTTAACATCGTATATGAGAAGATTTCGGACAAGTTTCCCTGTAATTACCACAAATAGCAATTCAATTAGTTATAACATTGTTATTTTATTAAGGATGTCCTATTGCTGGCTTCTATGGATCAAATTGTTCTATCCCCTGTGCTGACAATTGTGGGAACGGTTATTGTCACATAGAGAATGGAAAGTGTTATTGGTGTAAGCCAGGATATAAAGGTCCTTATTGTAAACACGGTATGATTCTTTCAATTCACTGTTGATTAAAAAAAAAACAAAAACAAAAAAACAAAAACAATATATCATGTATATTTCAGAACAGAATAATGTAAATCTTGGAATGCTTCCATTTGAAATTTCCATTTGGAAATCTCAATAACCTTGAGCAGAAAAAAAAAATCTTGGTAAATGCATATAAGATCCGCATTTCTTTTAGCCCCTCTTTCAAATGGATCACGGGGAAATAATCATTTACGAATTGTTTAGAATTGAAACAACTTACATTGTCTTTATATATTATGTCATAAAATCTACTTTTGAATGTTTAATTTAACATTTTGGAAATAATAATGAATAAAACTTCCAATTTGCACTTTTTTGTTAAATTTGCAGAATGTGATGGTAGAAAATATGGACAAGATTGTGAAGAAAGCTGTGGAGCTTGTCTGGGTTATAAACAATGTCACCATATAAATGGGTCATGTCTTGAAAGCTGTGACAGTGGTTATAAAGGAGAACTTTGTACGACTGGTATGCTTCATCTTTTGCAATTATCGCATCAATGTACTGTGCTTCTTAATCCATACAACTTTCTTGTGATTCATTGTTCTGTTTTAAAAAGTGTAGGAAACGAAATGTCTTTCAATGTTTATTTTCATCTAAAAAAAAAGAATAATAATAAATTTTACTTGTTATGTTAACAAATATTTCTTTGTCACATACAAGGTTGTTTTGGTTGGAAGTTTGGCATTAACTGTGAGGAATATTGTAATAAAAACTGTGGTGTACAGTATAAGTGTAACAGCACGACCGGACAGTGTGAGGGTGGATGTCAGCCAGGTTGGGAGGGTCCAAAATGCGATCAGGGTACATAATGATCCTAAAATCACCAAAACATTATAACTTCAAGATGAGTTTTTATAGTTTATATTCCTTTTCGGCTATCTATTTTCAGATATTTGAAACAACCCGTGAACAGTAAAAAAAAAAAAAAAAAAAAAAAAAAAAAAAAACAAAACAAAACAAAACAAACAAACAAAAAAACCCCCATAAATTGCATGCACTTCAACATTTAACACCAGACATTTTCAATTCTAACATTTGTAAATCACATACCAGTCTTTTTGCGTGATATAAAGATTTCAATGAGATGCTAATGAAAAATAGCGTAAAGTAAATATTTATTTCATGTTCGGTTCCCTTTAGTCTGCAGCAGAAATAAGTTCGGAGAAAACTGTACTCACTTATGTGGATTCTGTCGATACTCTCCTTGTCATCACCTAAATGGGTCCTGTTTAGGAGAATGTGCAGAAGGATACCGAGGTAACATCCCACTCATACTTTCCAAACAATTAAATATGGAATTATATATTTAAAGTGTAACAGTTTAAACATCCCTGCGATAGATCTCAGTAGAAGTCGTTCATTTCAAAGTATTTTTTTTTATCTCTTTTTAATTCTCTTTCACTACCGTATCGATATAAATTGACATTATAAATGTCATATTTTATACATCTTTGATACATCAGACTAGATATCAAGTATTTCAAAATATCACTTTTTAGTTTTCTTTTCAAATTTGTTTTCATATGGAATGAAACATGGATTCAAGTGTTGAAATTTGATTCAATGCTAAAGATATCTCAAAGCATAATTTTCTTCTTTGAAGTTTTATATGAATTTATGCATTCAAATGATTTTTACCTTTTACCTCTCCTAACAGTTTGTAAAAGGAAAACGAAAAGAAAACCTATTACTTAATTCGCATATAATTTTGTGTACGAGAGGTTAATAAAAAAAATTCTTGGACTATTGCCTTAGAAATAAAACTGCACTAGGTACATCAATGAATTTGCTTGCATTTAGTTAGCATCATCTTTTCTATCTAGAGAATAAACCATGAATCATAAATTTTATTTTCTAATAAATTGCTAATGTTTTTGTAAGCAATGGTATGTCAAGGCAGCGCAACCACAAATATGACGTTTTTTCTACTTGAGCGTTACCAAGAAAAACTCTTTTGATATGAGCATTTGTCATCAAAAATTCCATTAATTCAGACATGTGGTACAGCACAATTGTCCACTACAATTTGCAACTTTTACCCCATTCTGTAAGATCTATGAAATTTCATCGTAAATTTTATATGGAGTGTCAAAACAATTAAAGGCTTGAAAATTACATCAAAAAGGGGGAGGTGTTTCTTTTTTCCAACTTTCTATAAAGTATGGAAAAACTGGTATAGTTCTAGTGAATGTTTAAACGGGCAACAGAAAAACAAAATGCCGAGTACTTGCTTTAAATGCCTAGAAAAGATTCAAACAGATGAAAGATGCTCAATTAATGTCGATTTGTAGTCAGTGTGTCAAAAGTCAGTCACGTCGAAAAGTGACGTTGATTATGTATGGTGGAAATTGAGCTTCAACAAGCTTAGTATTCTGGCATAACCAAGTGAGGATCTTTCAGTATGTATAGATCTATTTGCAATATTATAGGCATTGAAAGCAGCTTTTCATGACATTGTAGAATCACATAAACAAGACAGGCTTGAGTCCTTGCTTAACTCCAGTTAATCTCATCAAGATAAGTGTATAAGGTAGAGAGAGTAGACATTTAGAAACAATGACGATGTCGTATGCCATGAAACTAAACAGCGACAGCGCCGGGTTATCATATAATGTCTTTTTGAATTTTATAATAATTTGGCAAATTATCAACGTATCAAGCTAAATTTTTCAACATTTCTTAAACTGTTGTTGTTTTATGTTCCTTATAATTTTTTTTAGCACAGACTACATAGTATTAATTTTATCGCATCACTCCACGAACTTTTTGATAACCCCTCGTACTTATAATACTACAATACCTGTTCATAGCGATTTACAAATTTACTTATCGTCGACTGTTAAATGCTTCTCCACAGTAGGCACTCCCAAAACTTTCAGCGTTATCGAACCAATTACAGTCTTTTTCTATATTTCATTATCGTATTTTTTCTTCCTTTCACATATATTTAACGCAATAAACAAATTTAAATGAAGTATTTAATGAATAATAACCAAAAATCTATAAAACAATGACTACTGTAAAATCACATATTGTCGATGGGTCAATTTTTTGAGGTTTTAGAAAAAAATATGGGTTTGTGGGGATTTGATTTCGTGGATGATGAATTGTTGCGTAGTTATATATATGGAATTTTACTTTCGTAGTGGATATGAATTCGTGGGTCTCTTCATACCCCATAAAAAAAAAATGAAAATCAACCCCCACGAGAATTAGTGATTTCACATATTTATATTCATATTGTGCACGACGACATATATCTGTAAAACATAGTTGTGGTCCCATTATATCAACAATAGGTAAATCAATGACGATATTTATACAATAGAATAGCTGACATGTCATCTAAAGGACAATTGTTTAAGTGAGCTTTTCATTCCTGGGAAAATACATTTAAGGAACACAGGCATTTGGCAATAACTATACCTTCGCAATACATTAGCTGGTTGAGCGATAAAATCGGTTGCATCATCTCTCTAAAAAAACAAAAAATAAAAAACAAAAAACAAAAAAAACAAAAACAAAAACAAAAAACAAACCAAAAAAACAAAAAACAAACAAAATAAACAAAAAAAAAAAAAAAAAACAAAACAAAAAAAAAAAAAAAAAAAAAAAAACAAAAATGTTTAGATAGTACAATTGGGCACGGATCTGTAAGGACTGTTAAGGATGAGAAATTTTCGGATAGTGGAAAGGGAAGACAAAATCATACAGGCATCAACAGTTCTCTTTTTCTGTAGCTGGTGGCAAATTTAATTGCATTTTGTTTGTTTGTTTGTTTGTATGTTGTTTACGTCCCTCTCGAGAATTTTTCACTCATATGGAGACGCCACCACTTGCCGGTGGAGAGTTGCAAATTTTGTCCTATACTCGGGCCATTGAGCAGTGAGGGATCTTTTTTGTGCCAGCACTTACTGCGACACGGGACCTCGGTTTATACCGTCTTATCCGAAGGACCGGTCTCCACGTCCCACAGTGGGATTCGAACCCGCGGCGTAATGTTCAACTCCTCACTCCGCGACTCTAGAGCAGACGCTCTAACCACTGCGCCACGCGGGCGACAATTGTTCTTTGTAAGCATATATGAATTGTCAATACATGTTATTTTTATTAGACTTAATCTTTTTATTATCAGATTAATATTCGATTTTTTAACAGAGTGTGAGGCTGGGTTTTATGGATATAAATGCAAACAAGAGTGTAGCCTTTTCTGCAAGACATCACGTGACTGCAACCACGTGACAGGATATTGCAACGATGGATGCATAGGTGGATGGCAGGGTGCAAAGTGTTTGCAAGGTGGAAAAGTTTAAACTTAGCATTACATTTCAGACTGCATGAACATATAATTTAGAATTCAGAAGTGTCTAACTTTGCCCAATTGAGGGTTTATACCTGTTACATTTATTTGCAGTTGCGGAAAAAATGGTAGGTCTGGAATGGTCATCACGATTCTACGCCGTTCTTGCAGCGTTGTGCGTTTGTATAACAATAATTGTGCTTTTGATAGTCTACATATGTTATTATAGGTTGGTAAATATACATTATCTATATATTGATAAATAAGATATCAATTAATTATTGAAAGGGAAATTTTACCTTCCGACAGTAATATATGATGAAAGGCATACTTGTATCTTTTATTGATACTTGTAGTAGGAATGTTTCATTCCTTTAATATTTGTATCATATGATCAATCATGATTATTGATATTGATAATATAATAGGAAGGACTATACAACACGGCGAATCTCTGAACTGATATTCATAAACTTTAAAAAGTAGTTGGTATCTGGACATTATATTTCATCTCATTCATCCCTGTAGAAGGAGGACCAACAAAAGACTTAAGAAACAGAAGTTCAAAGGGAATAACGAGGCGGGGAAAGTAGACCTCGGAGTCATTTCTTGTAAAATTGATGAAGATGAAAGCAGAAGATATCAAGAGCTTGGCCAACATACACTGCCTTCAGATTATGACTATCTTCGATAATGCCCTCCTTAAACCTACACATAAAGTAAACAGTAAACTTTATGTATACAGATGGTCAATGCATCTTTAAAACTAAAAAGCTTTGATTGAAATGTGCATCTAACATGGAACTGGGAGGATGAATAATACATGTGATTAATTAAAAGATTTATATATTCTTTGTGTTATTGTCCTGTTTTTGGAAAAAGATAAAAATTGCTAAAATTGCATGCATATTTTTCCGTAATGAGGATTATTTGTTTCTTTATTTTTAATTCCAACTATCAATATAATCAACCTAATCATTTTTCGAACAAATGTATGTATGTATATATATATATATATATATATATATATATATATATATATATATATATATATATATATATATATATATATATATATATATATATATATATATATATATATATATATATTTTTTTTTTTTTTTTTTTTTTTTTTTTTTTTTTTTTGATATTTAACTTTACTTGAAAGAAAAGTATGCATGTATAGATTTTTCTAACCGTTTGCACAAAGATACAAAGGCTATTTATTTTCTTAATTTCTCTAAATGAAAAAAATAATGCAACTCTACTTCCCTACTCTACTTTGCAACTACTTTATTTTTCTATTTTTGAGTGAAAATCAACAATCTTGCAGATGGGACTGGAAGATTTAATTGATAAACGCTGCAATGAAAGTAAGATATATCATATATCTGAGATGATAAAGTAAATCTTGTTGATGATAAGTGCGACTTGATACGAAAAATGTTATTCCGTAATGAATCTCGCTAGCAAAAACGGACACTAGAAAAATATATATAAATGTACATCTAAGATGTCTCCAGTGTTTTTAAGCTCATTCCAATTGTATAATTTTAAATTTGATGGAAAAAAGTAAATTAATGTAGATGTTGCTCATATATGCATTTTTTGCTTTTATTCCTCTGTTCGTCAGACATGAATCTCATTTTTAAACATATCGTACATGAATGTTGATACCTAGTTAGATGTATTTAAATAAAGCGTGCATTAGCATACCTCATGAATAATTTATGGCATTTATATGAAAAAAAAAAAAAAAAAAAAAAAAAAAAAAACATTCAGTCAAATAAATGAAATAATAAAAAAAAAAACAAGTCTGTTATTCAGATATAAAACTTGTAACCTTGGAATCTGTAAACATCAGTACGACATTAAGGAGATAATAAGAATCGGAGTCAGTCCATTTTCAATTAGAGAAACAGTAAACATCCGTAGTAAATCGGGGGAAATATGTTTACTAATGTAACCATTGTACAATATTATTAGTAATCTCAATTTTCTAGCTACAGAATTTACTTTTGAACAATTTATATAATGATGTTCTCTCCTTTCAACAAAATTAGGGCAATTTATGATATTTTCCTTGTACTATTTCCTTATTTTGTTTATTTCTTTTCTCACAGTTTAATGCTATATCATACGGTAGATTTGATGTGTTGTGATTTTTTTTTTAATTTCAGAACATTGAATGTCTAAGATTCAAAGAATGAATTTTAATAATAAATTCTTACTACTATATAATTCATTCAAATTGGTTGAAAAACCATAAACGTCGATTTCTTACGTAGATCTATAAATTGGTTGAATTCTATACCACATTTTTTTTCGTTTAAAGGCAGCTCATTTTACCATTCCTTATTGATTGCTTGATTTCTGTTCTGCCTTATGGCAGACTATATGTATACCTTCTTGCTGTAACCGCCGTCATAAAATGAAATAGTTCAAATGATCTAGATAGTATTAAAAATGATCAAGGTATAAATTAAACCATTTTCACCATTGAAGTTTGCACAATGGCGTATATGTGAAGACGGATCAATATTTAATTTGAGTATGTTTTAAACATGTGGGCCTTCGTCCACTGAACAACCTTCGACGAGTCGAGTGGCAACAAAAAAAAAAGAAGTAGATATATAACTGCAGCAAATGTTTCAGAAAAGTGAAGATAAAGAACAGTATTCAATCTCGAAAGTCCAATGAAACGAAACGAATATGGAGCAGAGCAAACACGGACCTCAAAAATTTAGAGGTGGAATCAGGTGCCAATAAGGAGTGAGCATCCCCTGCCGACCGGTCGCACCCACCGTGTGCTCCTTGTCATGTTCGGGACACAAAAACCGGGAATATCCGTAGACAGTTCAGTGTATAAATAATGGCCTAACAATCAGTTTGAAAAAGGTCAGTCAACATTTGACTCAATGACAGGTTGTATGTGCTGACAAGGTCATTGTATCGACTGCAAAACCATTCACGGTAGCTCAGTCTGTAGAGCGCTCGCTCCGTGATCGGGAGGTCGTGAGTTCGAATCTCTGCTGCGACAGACCAAAGTCGATAAAAAATGGGTAGCAGCTGTTCCTTCGCCATGCGCTCAGCACTTTGAAGTGAAAGTTGCGGGTCCTTCGAATGAAACCTTAAAGAACCGAGGTCTCGTGTCACGGCAGGCGTTGGCAAGATAAAGATCTCTCACTGCTCAATGGCCCTAAGTGCCGAGTAAAGGTAAAAATTTGAAGCCCTTCACTGGTATATGTTGACGTCTCTAAATGAGTGAAAAATTCTCGTATGGGACGTTAAACAAGGTACACTCAATCAATCGACCAAAAAAAAAAAAAAAAAAAATTGCGAAAAGATGACTTCAAACGAGACTGTTGATATCCTTGTTTCGTCAACTTGTTTGTCAATAGCTTGCCTCGTTTTAGAAACTGTTTATACGTAGAGCATGCTCTTGCGTAGCGATTCAACTGAGAGACATAAACGCCATATGCAGGTCATAAGGGTATATTGCTACATAAGTATGCGTGATTCTCCAAACGATTCTCAGTGAGACATTGCAATCCAAGCCATGGAATATATGAGGCTTACACGTTTGAGCAAAGGGTAAAATACGCAACATTGTAAACATTGAATGTAAAACAAAAGCCTGTAGGGAAAAAAGCACAGGGAGTAGGAAAATAGTGTCTGAAACTACATTTTAAAAGTCTTTTCCCACTGCTTTCTAACGCCTTACATGTGCAGAAAATAATCTTTGATAGTCGTGTCAAGGAAAATAAATCCATACACGCAAATCTGTTGTTACGTTACATGCGTCTGTGTTTTTGTCAAAGTCAATGAATATATGCACATCGGATTTCAATTGGCCGGAAAGAAGGATGTGTAGTGGTGTATAGTGTCATCCATCGCGAGCACTTAAACAAGGGACACAATAATCACTTCATAATATCTTTTCGTTATGTATTGCATATGTTAAATGCATGTAGTTATTGTTTTCATATAATAATAATAATATTCTCATTCAAATACATAGAACCCTCTACATTACTTTTAAAGATAAAGCTTTGAATAATAAACACGCTAAAGTGTGCTGATGCAAATGAAAAGTTTAAATATTTAACTGCATTTGACAAGGATTTCATCTAATGGATATTGCTGACAAGGAAATTTAAAGAAAAAGTTTAAAGTTAACGAATACTTATAGTTTTGCTACTAAGGGAAAGTGTACATTAGTTATAAAGGGTTGCAGTAATAATAAAAATTATCATCACTTATATACATAAATTTAGACTTTGTAAACTTTAGAACGTCACTTCTTATTTTAACTTCTCATTGAAGATTTGTATGAAGTTATACATATAGATAGGCACATAAAAATTTTAACAGGGCATTGTATTACATCCACGATTTTTTGAAATTTACAAAAGGTGAAGATAAGTACCAAGGGTCCATCTCAGAAATCTCAGCGAATACGATTCGTAAAGAGGGCAAAACCTCTGAAAACACAAGAGTTAGGATAGGATCTGTCGTAGGAGAATGCGTGTACTGTCGAATAATCTCAATCGAAGTGAGCTTTCTGTATGGATCAGGTAAATGAAGTAATCCGTAGAAAATCAAGTGGCGGGAAACATGTCAGTCAAATTACTTCCAAACGAAAAGTTGTAATTGCAAATAAGGTCATTATATTGAAACATTCGTTACACAATACGGACACTGTCGCATCAGTGAACATATATACTCTATTGGTGGGGGTATTTAAATTATCCCCAAAAGAAATGTATGCTGAGCTTTAAAAACATTTTAGTTTGTAGTAATTTAATTGGGTCAACGATAAGGACGCTTCTGTCAACAGTGTAATTTTCTTCCCTGTAAAGCGTAATGGAGATTTGTTTTCAGTATGATGTTCACTTGTGTAGCAATTACTGCTCTGGTATTTACAATTGATTTCATATTTTGCTACGGTAAGTTCATGTCTTCTGTGCATATAAATATTATATTGTTGAGTATCGATTTATAGAGGTACGTATAAAGCACAGTATCTTGGCCTATCCAGGAAATCATTTTTTTTTCACACAGTTATAAAACAATCACATTTCAACATGTACAATTGTACTGGTTTTAATTTGTATAGCTCTTTTCACCAGGACATCCAGATACTTGTCTGCCTCCTGCATTTAATTGCTCTCTATTCTTTTTTTTTTCATAGAAGATTAAACTGAGGAATGAAAACAGAAAATGTGCTCATAATCTTAATTTTATCTCAAAAAACTAAATTACCCTACATTTTTAATTCAAAAAGTCCTCTTCTGCCGTTTTACTAGGGATGTTCACTACATAATAATAAAAAGTCATTATACACAGAACAAAAAAGAAAAAAGAAAAGATTAAAAAAAAAAATCTTATATGTTTTAAATTCTCAATACATTCTCCTTTTCCTTGTTCACATGTGTCAAGTCTTTATCTACGATAGGAGCACATAAGGAAATATTTCTTCAGGGAAGGTCAAACAACTCTGATTGATTGCACTTCGGTCCCAAGGACATATATGTAATCAGGGAGTGTTTTCTTGCGAAGATTTTACTGATAATCGGGAATAAAATTAAATTTTAAAAAAGATGGTAAGCTCTTGCAAACACAGTAGAGGCTAAGCTCTGAAGCTTTTTTTTTTCTTTCGAAGAATCCTTTTTTGAGTCTATACTTGTTCACAGCAGTATTGTCAGGTATAAATACAGACATTTTTCAATAGGGCGAATTCTTTTTTCTAATTTTCTAAGATATTTTTGGCATTTTTTATTCAAAAATACGCTCATCATACGTTTATTTTTAAATCCACTACTGGCCTTAATCAAAACCATGAAAGGATTTAACTGGTTTAACTGGTTTAGTCACCATAAAAATGCTATTGATTACAGGTTCTCCATTTTGAAAGAATCGAATAGTAAGGTTATACTGCATTTAAATGTTGAAATGAAAAATTAGTCACAAGTACATGTACATGTTGGTGGTAGTCAGGGTGACGAAGCTAACTTTTCATGTTCATCCTTGTACAATTAATTGAGTGTAGCAACGTTATCATCAGACAGAGTCAATAAATAACCGTTCAAGACATAGCCTATGGCTTTTGCAAAGCCACAATAACATGTTGCAGAAGACCGTCCAAAAGGTTACAACTTATGCCGCGTTACGGATATCAAAGAGTGAATTGGGCAGGAAAGATGCCAATTTAACGCCAACATCCTGTAAAGAAAATTCTCAGAGTCTGCAATGCATTTACATGTAGCAATCGTGCACTCATCAAAACTCATGGTGGACGTAACGGGCACAGAAAACACAGTATTGATGTACCCAAACGGTTTACATTTTGCTCACATCCTCCCACAAATGACAATGACTAAACCAAATAAATATATAATAGCCTTACATCAGAAAAAAAAAATAACTTGGGAGAAATATTTTATTTATTGACTTAGATTATTAATAAATATTGCAAAGTCATTCACTGTTGTATCGCTTTCAAAAGTCCTGGTCACCTTTCTCAAATATATTCTTAAATAAAAAGCTAGCATTCACTGTTACTTCTTTGGGTGTAGATACCTGTATTGCGGGTCATCTTAAGTGAATGGAAATTATGTAAATGTATTACATTAAGCGTGTACGATATTTGTCGGAATTTGATTTTTGAACAAGTTAGCAAAATATTGATTTAGTGTATTTACTTATGGTCCTATTTATATCTACACGTGCAAGCCATTTAACGTTGCACTTGAGTTAGCGGAAGTTGCTTTCCTCGAAAGACGCTAAAAAGAATACAGAGCTAAATGTAATACGTTTACAGAACTGTATGAAATGTTTTGGAAGTCCAGATTCTCTCGGCGATCAAAGGCCAAAAGCATCTTTAAATTACCAGATATATTTATTGATTTAATGACTATTTAAATTTTACAGTATTTTGAAAATAATCACTGATGCATATAATTTATGTATTTAAAAAAAAATAAGGAAAAAAGATCAAATTAGTAATAAAAAACACCTATAGATCAGTTTGATACCGGTCACGAAAGCTGCGTGGTATGGCGTTCACTTTTTGTTGGGAAGGTACCTGGTTCGATTCTTGTTCCAGGTAAATCCTCAAACCTAAGACTTCAGCATATGAAGTGTCTGTTCCTTCGACAAATATCCGATGCTGTTGTAATGATTCTGGAATTTTCAGATACGATCATGCAAGTTCTCAATTAGTCAGTTTACATCAGGTGACATCAATCATATATAAATACCGAGACTCTGCAGTCGTCTGTAGTTGTTCTTCGGACGCAGCCAAGGTTAGAAGACGAGTGTAGTGAATGACGTATTCACGTTTAATATTCCTCGCCTGTTTTACAGTTAGAGTATTTGGAAGGTCAAATCAGTTAAGGCCTTCCACAAACGAGGTTGACCTCCAATAGGGAGGCTAGCCATAGTTTGTTTGATCTCGTCTGCATTGGCTGACCAGTCCATCCAGACTGCTATACTCACTGTCCGTCCTGTATAAGGCATCCTATAGTGAGTGTAGTAGTGGAAGGGCTACCACATATACTGTCCGTCCTGAATAAGGCATCCTACAGTATATGCGGTAATCCGAGGGCGACTGGGCTCTAGATTTGTGTTAGGTTACCAGTTAATTAATTGTTGCTTGCATCTGATTATTATAGTGATTAACTAGTTGATTTTATATTTACCTAGATAAGGTTAGGACATATTTGTATATTTCGGCAGTCCACTAAAATCAGACCAATTATTTCCAATCATTTAATGTTGAACACCCCAAACCATGGAATTGACCAGGTACGATCCCTGTGTTTTATTTTATGTAAATACGTTACACTGTATGTGAAAGTCAAGGGTCTCTCGGATGAGACCTGAATAACAAAGGTCCCATGACGTGGTAGGCGCTGGCTCAAAAAAAAAAAAAACTTCATTGCTCAATGGCTGAGAGATGAGTAAATGTCTAAATCGGAAGCCCTTCGCATTTTTTTTTTTTTTTGGTAATGTCTCATACGAGTGCAAATTTCTCATAAGGGACTTAAAAATAAATGAGCAATCAATCAGTTTGAACTATTCATTGGTATTAGAAAATTTACATTCTAAGGTAACAGAGTGCAAACAGTGGGAAGATGTCTAGAAAATGAAAGGTGCGGAAGAGTAACATGCTCTTTGATGCTTTCTTATTCTCTTAATGATACAGTGGTCTATTTTGTACTGATAATGGAAAAACATCTCAGCATATTAATTAGGAAAAAAATGGACATTTTTTTTTTATCTGCGGAGTTTTATTGGTTTCATGCAAATAGCGCTCACAGCAACCTTGTCCTCGAATTTTCTAACCTTCGTATGTAATATTTCTTTCAAGTAATTTTTCCAAATTTTTGTGTAACAAAGTCAGTGTCTTCCATATATTTAGCAAGAACTGATTTTCAAAACAGGATTATTAGTACAAAAGATGTGCCTATAACTAATTAAAAAAAAAATGTAAACTTTTGAAATTTGAGATTTTTTTTTTTTATTTTATATAGCAGTAAGTTAGATAAATTAGCTGGGACTTTTTGCTTTTGTAGAAAACATAGCTCTAAATAAATCAACATGGCAAAAACTCCAGTACAATCCAGGAGATAGTAGATTCCATTCCAGTAATGCTGTTGATGGACTTAAGACTGACCTCAGTGCATTCGGAGGTCAATGTGTGTTAACTGCTGATAAACAGAGCACTGCCACCTGGTGGGTAAACTTGACATCCGTCGTTAGTATACATCACATCTTAATATATTACAGGACTGAAAATGAAGAATGGGGTTAGTTTACCTTATTTTATTCTTGATATCAATGAATATTTATTCATAACATTTTGAAACAATTAATTTTTATTTGCAATGAATTTTAACTTCGATGCATGAAGTTTTTTTTTTTTTTTTTTTTTTTTTTTTTTGTTTTGTTTTTTTTTTTTTTTTTTTTTTTCTTTTTTTTTGTTTTTTTTTCATATTAATGCTTAGAATTATACATGTCCCAATAGTACCTATACAGTCAACACATTTTAAATTTATTCTAGCTGACCAAATCACAAATAGTTAAATAGCAAGTTTACCTAGAGCCTTTTTGGCCCCGTGAATTTAAAAAAAAACTTCATTTTAATTAACAATATATTAAATATTGCTTGGACCCCTGGTGAATGTATACATACATACATACATATATCTTTTAAAATTGATGTAATTTTCTCTCCAGTTCATGTGCTATGAGTTATCAAATGTGTCTTTCTTCACTCATCCTAAAAAATCTTCAAAGTTGACGACACATTTCAGCCCCCCCCCCCCCCCCCCCCAATATTTTGCGTAAAGTGAAACCTCTGATCTAAAATGTGCAATTATAAAATTCAAAAATCCTTTATAAATATTATTTTGATTGAGGGTTGGGCTCATATTAAAATATCTGTGGAAGGCAAATCTGTTTTTAGCAAAATTCAGAAACACTTAAATTTCTCAGAGCTGTTATTTTTATACCAGAGGAATCATTTTTCATTTAAAATGAAAACACTAAGCATTTACTTTATAGAGATGTTTGAAATGGGACATAGGGTCATGGTCAATTAATTGGGAAATAAGATATGACCAGGACCCTTTTTTGGATAAAGTGCACCTAGTTAAAATTAGAAACTGTAATCAATATTTCTAGGAAGTCGTCTATTCTTATTTTTCAGTTTAAGTTCTTAGAGAGGAAAGATATAAACTAGCTGTCTTCTTTACTTCACTTTAAAAAAAAAAGTTTCAGTCTGGTAAATACAAAACAAGTTTACTCAGCATTTTAGTCGTGACTGATAAGAGAAATTTTAAACTTGCTGCCAAATTGTCTGATTCGTGAAGTTATGTATGTGTTAATGATTGTGTAAATTGTTTTATTTTGTTTTGTTTTGTTTTGTTTTTGTTTTTTTTCAAAAACACTTATTTGCAGTCCTCAGTACCATATATAAAGGGCTATATCTCTTCTTGCATGCAGTAGAGAATGGCGCAAAAAAAAAAAAAATCCTTACTGCTTAATGATCACCCCCCGCCCCCCCCCCCCCACACACACACACACACACACACACCAATAGATGATTTCAAATTATGTGCGTCAGTACGTATTTTCAAAGGGCGTTAGCAACAGAACAAAATTCTAGTATCTAGTAAAAATTTAGAATGCTTTTGCTCTTGCCCTGAGCATCTCTCATACGTAAGGAAATTCTTACTGAAAATATTACCAATTACCTCAACCAAGTCTATAGAACTGGATAATTTATAAAAATATCATTTACGTCTTTTAAAAATTTTATCGCAATCTTAACAATCTAGCTTTGTATTAAAAACACGTCAAAAAGTAACTTGTAAACCAGACGCACTGTACGAAAAAAGATGACATTCTAAAGATTTTTTTATTATTATTATTTTAAAAACTGAATTCTAGTTTCATATCTACAAATATTACCCTATATTTAACGATATTTTGTTTATATCTCTAGGATAACAAGACTTCTTTTTGCCTCATTCTGAGATGAAAAACCTCCCTATTCCTCATAGCAATATTGAAGTAAACCTTAATATCGAGGAAAAATTACAATCTTCGTTTAGAATAGATTTAAAAAAAATTGTTTCAAATGACTGAAATTAATACAAATGTAGATTTTGGGGATTCTTCGTTTATTCATCAAGCATAAACTAGAATAATATATATGCATATTGAAACAAACAAACAAACAAACAAAATTACAGATAAAAGCAAATTGATAAAAAAAGAACAATGCCTTTTCAAGATTGTCTATTTGCCAACTTTCTTCTCACAAAAAGCTGTCATCCTACCCAAGAACTAAATTATATACATTTCCAGGTCCTTCAAATCCTTACACCACCAGATTTCTAGGATTTCAACTGTATATTTCAAATACAACAGATAGATTTGATGGTTATTTATGTTTTCACGATACAAACCACAACAGATCCACAATACCATCTGTCGCTAACATAAGTTGTCCTATACATGGACAATACGTAATCTACTACAATGAGAGACTTCCTAATGCAACTTATCCAAGTGGATATTCTCAGTTTGCTTTTACTGATTTCTGTGAAGTTGAAGTGTATGGTAAGTATTTATACAAAAGAAGGACTTTAGAATACAGAAGCACATTGCTTGCATATAAGCTGTCTATTCCTTATTGCTAAAATATGTTTATGTTATAGGTTGTTCTGCTCCCAGGGTGTATGGATCAAATTGTTCCATCCCGTGTCCTGTAAACTGCAAGCAGTACTGTCATGTAGAATCAGGAAATTGTTTTCAATGTGATCCTGGTTATAAGGATGGACATTGTGAACAGCGTGAGTTTTCTTCATATTGCCAAAAATATGTTAAATTTCAATACTTAGGTAAAAATTCCGTTCATGTCTTTCTCATGTTCTTGCTTGCTTGAGTAGTGTATTTGAAACATTTCACCATTAAACAGTCTTAAAAAGTGTTACATTTAGTAATATCCATTAAGTTCCCTTATTAAAAATATCTTAGTAGATTAGATTAATTAAAATTAAAAAACAAGATGTGTTTGTGAAACACTGATGCCCCCGTATGGCAGCTTATGGCGAAGGTTAAAGTTTCTTCAAATGCAAGTCAAAATCCAGGCCAAAAGATAAGAAATGTTAATACCCCAAAAAAGGCCTTGTCTCGAGGAATACACCTATGATATTTGAAAGACCTAGATACAACTGTTCAGAAGTTATGGCGAAGGTTAAAGTTTTTTTAATAAAAGTCAAACGTCAAGGTCAAGGTCAAAGTGGTGATTGGTATCCAAAGGAAGATCTTGTCACAAGGATTACATATGTGAAGTATGAAAGCCCTAGCACCAACCATTCAAAAGTTATGGCCAAGGTTAAAGTTTTTCAAAAGTAGGTCAAACTCCTAGGTCAAGGTCAAAGTGTCAAAGTGGTTGATATCCAGAGGAAGGTCTTGTCACAAGGAATACACATGTGAAGTTTGAAACCCTAGGCACCAACTGTTCAAAAGTTATGGCCAAGGTTAAAGTTTTTCAAAAGTAGGCCAAACTCCAAGGTCAAGGTCAAAAGGTCAAAGTTATTGGTATCCAAAGGAAGGCCTTGTCACAAAGAATACACATGTGAAGTTTGAAACCCCAAGCACCAACTGTTCAGAAGTTATGGCTAAGGTTAAAGTCTCATAAAATTTTGCAAAAGTAGGTCAAACTCCAAGGTCAAGGTCAAAAGGTCAAATATGATGGTACCCAAAGAAAGGTCTTGTCACAAGGAATACACATGTGAAATATGAAAGTCATAGCTCCAACCAATCAAAAGTTATGGGCAAGGTTAAAGTTGACAACAGACAGACAGAAAAACAGACAAACAGACAAACGGACACACAGACAAACGGACAAACAGACAAACAGACAGACAGGCAAAAACAATATACCCCCGGGATCTTTCGATCCGGGGGCATAATAAAAAATATTCAAATGTCTCTGTTTTAATAGTATGGAAATTATGAATAACCTTTAGAAACAATGTACTTATTAGAATGCAATATGAGGAAATACGGAGAAGACTGCAGTCAGGACTGCGGTGTCTGTCTGGATTACAAACAATGTGATCACATAAACGGAACATGTGATGAAGGATGCGATAGTGGATACTATGACCTACTCTGTAAAACAGGTAATTAGCATGTATTTTAAATGGATATTAAAAAAAATCCCTGTGAGAGTACTATTAAATATTATACTATAATTATCGTATTTGGAGAATTTGCATTTCGGGTATTGATTTCCTATTTATTTTATAATAAAGAGTATAACCAATTGTCTGACGTATGATTAAGCACCAACAAAATCTCTAATCATACTAGCTCAGCCTATTTAAATGCAGCGTGCAATTTTCAAAATAATCATAAATCTTATAACAATTTAATATACAATCAACTCAATAAATATAATGTCACTAAATACGCACATGTACAGGTCCAGCACAATACCCTGATAAAGGTATATAGCTTGATAAAGCGATATAGCTTTATCAAGATATTACAAATACCTTGATCAAGGTATTTTATGTAATGAAAATACAAAAAAAAAAAAATCCAAAAAAAATAAATACTGCAAGCCAAGTTTTGAGTTGTTCTCAGTAAATTCACTCATGCATGTAAAGTACTTAAACACAAAGAAATCAGTAAAAAGGCATGTCATGTGAAGAGCCGTTCTTTTATGCTGACTTTTTGATACCTGAGTACTTTTCATGCTCGAGCGAACACACTGACCACAACTCATAATTTGACTTTTAAATTTATTTTTTTAAGGATTTTTTTTTTTTGTATTTTCATTACATAAAATACCTTGATCAAGGTATTTATAATACCTTGATAAAGCTATATGGCTTTATCAAGCTATATACTTTTATCAGGGTATGGTGCTGGACCTGATGTATGCGTGTAACACTAAACGTAGACAACGGCACATTTTTAACACTTGAAAACCAACTTACGTTTCCCTTTCAGAAACAAAGCTTTTGTGCAGACAACAGACATTTAAAAAATAATAAGTAAAAAAGCATTGGGCTACGCATAAAAAAAAAGAATTAATGACTCCATCCAAATGATTCTTACAGTGCCTTTTTTATCAATTTTTATAGTTCAGTTCAATATGTCTCCTATTTAAATTTCTAACTTTTCAAAATACAAATAATCTGCATTTGCATTATATAAACGTACCTTTCACGCATTTGCTTAATTGTAAATGTCATACTGAGAAGACGAAACTCAAAAGAGACTTGTCGATGCGTGTAATTAGCTGATAACAATCTACATCTTCTTTGTTTGAATTAAGAATGTATTCCTGGAAAGTATGGTGTAAACTGTAAGGACACATGTAGTGAACTCTGTACAGTGACAAACAGATGTAACCATACATCAGGGGAATGCGAGGGAGGCTGCAAACCAGGGTGGAAAGGATTATTATGTGATAAAGGTAAAAATACATTGAAAATGTATACTTTTATGATTCACTTGTATTTGAGGTACTGTGAATGATATTTGAATGAATGATAATCAATTCAAAGTACAATCATTTGATTTAGTCTAAATTACGCAGCTCTGTTAAGGCTGCATAAAGAGGGCGGGATGTAATGTCTTCTCTGACATCACACAACATAGCAATTCCTTACAACAACAGAAAATGAAATAATTTAAGGGTTTAAACTGCATAAGAGTGATAAACTACATCAAAACGTACCACTGCATTCATTTTGCCGCTAGTTAAATCCCATACAGCAAGATATAAACAAGTCACTGATCGCAATGTACTTGTCGACATGACGTCTTCATGTTAAAATTTGATGCATTTTGTGTGCAGTGAGAGGCGGACCAAGTAATTTTTCCACAGTGAAAAACGAATTTTATTATTAAACAGAATATTATTTGCAAATCTAAGGTAGACCATCAATACAAGTCTGAAACCTTTGCTTAGTGTCATTATTTAAAAACTATCGGAGGATGTTTTGAATTAATTCTACCGTGTTTTTGTGTACAGGGTATTAATGTTTCACGCTGAGGTGTCTCATTAAATCGCCTTTTCGCAAAGGCATACACTTAATAGATCTTGACCATTTTTTGAATATGCATAACGGAAACATTCTTTAACTTGAAAAGTGCTGCTGCTTTCCTGAAATCAGAACATTACTTAATAAATAAATAAAATGCATTGTGAAGGTTACACATATTTCGACTAGAGTCAAACAACTTGAAATTTAAACTAATAAAATGCAAAATTTATTTAAAGCAGCAGCACTTTTCATAAGATACAAGTCATATAGATTTATTTTATTACTGATTTTTTTAAAATTCTAACTAGGGTATGCCCTTGCAATATTGAAATTTATTTATGACCTACATAAAGTACACATTACATGGATTTAACACGTGACTGTCAAATAACGTGACCAAACTAAATTTCTTACAGAGCGGGATATACAATGTTATTTCAATTAAAATTAAAGTCATGCTATAATGTAGTAGCTTTACAAAAATAAATTCAGTTGAAAAAGATATGTATTTATGCACATTTACATTCCGTTGATTCTTCGTAGTACGCCTTAACAGTCCCGAGCATTATCTTTGACAATCGTCAATTGATATGGTTGAAAATGAAAATGACTCTGAATGAATATTGTCATTTTATATAAACGCATGTATCTGCTCTGGTCTTTATAAAAGATAGTTTTGAGATTGTTCAAGACACAACAGAGACACAAATATACATTACTTAAAACATATCTTTCCATTCTCACAAGTGCCTTGATAATGTCTTCTTTTTTTTTAATTAAAAATAGACAGCTTATCGTATACATAAGATTGTCCTGTTAATTATGACCTTGAGTAATGCATGGTTATAGCACATGCACATTAAATACATGTACGCGTGATGTTATTCATGATCGATCATTTCGATATACTGGCCAAACACAAAATATTCCTTAAAACAATCATGACCGTTATAATTAAGAAATGTTACATGTATATGGAGGTGATGAAGGTATATCTTGCATGTGAAAAAAAATATATGCAATTGATACCTTTTGTAGGCAAGACATGACAAGAAAGTGCAGACCTAAATATATGTGCAATCTAACATTGGTTGAATCAGTTAGAAAAACACACGGATCATATGTTTATTTTACACAGCCATTTATATAATCTGTCTTAGAAGTCAATTTTTCCAGAATTGCATTGTTGTTTTTATTTATTTTAAATACGGAATACTAGGGACAAAATATTTATGAACGAAAATAATAGAGTGATTATATATATATATATATATATATATATATATATATATATATATATATATATATATATATATATATATATATATATATATATATATATATATATATTTATATATCTCATACAATATTTGTTCGATTAAATTGACGATAACCAAATCATATATGCATTCAGCGTGACATAATTTGAATGATGGTTGGTTAAATTTTGATTGATTTTATAGAATTGTTCGTATCAGTTCAATTTTGGTTACTCTCATTTGATTGTATTTTTTTTTTTTAATTTGATTTCATTTGACGCAGAATGCGACGGGGGTAAATATGGTTCTCACTGCAATGAAACCTGTGGAAGTTGTCGTTATCTACATCAGTGTCACCATATCAACGGTTCATGTGAAGACGGCTGCAAACCGGGATACCAAGGGGTGAAGTGCGATAACGGTAGGAGGGTTTACGACTTAACGTTTTGTAATACTCTAACAAGATGGATTCCAAAATAAGGCATATGTGTGTCAGTATTAGATTCTTTTATATTTTTTTATTGAAAAGAGTAGATGCGAATATTTTGGCTTTATTTTAGTAATTGTTCTGAATGTTAAAACAAAGAAAGCAATCAGTGTAGAATTCTTATAATGCTTCGGGTGGAAAGGTAAAATACAAGTATCTTCATTCCCAAGAGAAAAATTGCTCCACCTTAATGCATTCTGGCGGGGAAACTTTCCCTGTCGTCATTGTTTCTATGCAAATTTTCTTGTCTTTTCAAACCACCATCAATTAAAAACTATCTTGAAATTTTCAGTATTGAATGATGAAATTTTTAGCAGAAACCACTGTAAGTTATATTCTTGGAATTGTATAAGTTTCAAAAAACTTTACAGTTTGAGAAGACAATATCTTCAAAACTTCATTGATCGAATCATGTTTGGATTTAAATGCTGACAGCGATTTTCTCAATCTATTTTTTAAGAATAAGAAAGACATTTCGATGATGTTTAGGAATGGGGAATGTGATTGCCGGTCAAGAAAATTTAAATCATGTTCATGTTTCCACGCTGTTTTCAATTGTGAGGCATGACAAGGAAAATTTTCATCCTGGAAAACAAATGATGAATTTCCAAAATTTTTTGAGATAACTGGTCAGAAATGCTTCTCGAGAGTCTCTTCAAACTTATTAGAGATCATGTTTCAAGTTATTGAATTTAATGTACACACTCCTAAAGATGTCAGAAATACCAAAAATAGTGCTTATTTTTACTCTGCGGTTATGTAGACCGACACACTCGGAACGATACGTTTCATCATGAGTTCTCCAAACATACAGACGATTTTCGTTTGATAACACCGAGTTTCATCTTGGAAAAAAATCACTTTCCTCCAGGAGTCATTACTCATATATTAACACCACTGAGCACGCCTTTGTTTACTATGAATTTATGATAAGTGTCTTTGAAATATTTTGTATATACGTATAACATGTATAACTCCACATCTTCATTAAATCTGTAATTAATTCGTTCGATGGTCATTATAGTTACGGTATATATTATAGAAAAAAGGTTTTTTCTAAGTTAATAGAAAGTGTCACAATCCCTTTGTATTAATTTTACAATAGATCATGTTCAAAAAAAAAAAAAAAAAAAAAAATGAAAAAAAGATGAGCACGACGTTTTCGATTGACTTCGGCCACAGTGGTTATCTTCCTTATTTTGTGTCTGTGAATTGATTTTTCTCTGAAAAGTCCTTACAGACACTTTATGAGAAGCATGTTGGTTGAAATGATCCACAATTTCACTCAAAGTTTGTCTTCTATCCTTTTTCACTGTCCGAATCAAAATTCTGTCACCCTTCTCATCAACCAGACTCTTCCTTCCTCGATTTGATATCGTTTCCATAATTTCCTCATTATTATAATTCTTCACAAGCATAGAAATCGTAGATTTATTCTAGAAATTATTTCTGCCAAATAATGTTGAATTTTACGACGCAGATACAAATCTATAGCTCCTATGACAGTTCTGTCGTCTGCCCTACATTAACAAAACCAGAGAGTTTAAACAAGGGAAGCAACTGCAATTGGGTGCAAAGGGAAATCATGCCCGATATAATGTTTACAGGTCCTAAATGTTTTTAGCTGTATACACATTTGGAATTACAACACAAAATGCACAGAGAATAAAAACAAAGAACAAAAACTTCTGCAAAAGTGCCAACTATAGCACGTCGTATTGTAGCATTCCACTTGATCGGTTTCCTTCCTTTCTGCTTAAATTAGAAAATTCTCCCTGATAAAAATTCTGAACTTTGGTGATGATTTTCTGCAATGTTTAGCTGTACTATAATTCATGTTATATTCATGTTATATTCTATATTCTTTTTTTCCAGTTTGTAGTTTTGGTTATTTTGGATCTGACTGCAAAGAAGAATGCAGTGCATTTTGTAAGAAAACACGTGACTGTCATCATGTGACTGGTTCCTGTAGAGAGAGTTGTAAGGCTGGCTGGCAAGGACACGACTGTTTTCAGAGTAAATTGAAACAACATACTCATGTTATATTCAAATGGTATCATTTTTATTTTGGAAACTTGTAGAAAAAAATTATTTATTTTTATATTCATTAAATGAACTTTTGTTTAATTGTGAAAAAAGGCAAATCGTATCTTTCAGGTGAGAAAATTGTATTTGCTTTTTAATTGCATGTTATATCACATTGTAAACTACGATAGAAAATAGAAAAAAATACATGTTTGCATTATATATAACAATTAGGAAATAGTTGATGAAGAGATACAGAACGTATTAAGTATTATTGAGAACAACCATTTGCAAAGATAAGCAATTGAAATCAATTTTCATTTTTGGAAAAGAAAAATGAATTCATTAAAAGCATTTAACATAATTTTCTTTACAGTCCAAGCAAAGGAGGAGAGCGACTGGCAATCACGATTTTACGGTCTTCTAGCTGGGTTTTGTGTTTGTGTAGCAGTTATAGCCGTTTTATTAGTAGTGGTGTTTCTGCAACGGTAGGTCAAGTATCGGATATAATCAAAATAATTTTACCCCATTTTTTCTTAAGGATGTTTCTTTTAAAGAAAACAATTAGTTTCCAGTAATCAGACATCATGAGTTATTTTATTGACCAATTTTTGCCTTTCATTTTTACAGACGTCGCATGAGTGGGAAGAGAGCAGGGCAAAGTCATAAGGAAAGTCAAAATCCACAATGTAATGCTGGTTACGTAGATGTAATGACCACTGAAAATGTTAGAAGTGAATACCAAGAGCTCAGTGACATTAAAGGATCCTCAACATATGACGTTATCAAATGATAAGCATTATAAATATAACTTGGGTCTTTACTACAGACCTGCGATGACAAATTTATTATGTCTAAAAGGTTTTTTTTTATCTATGAAAAAGAAATCAATATTGACCGAAGCGAAGCCAGAGTCAATATCCATAATTTTCTGATGGACATTATAAACTTAAAAGACAGCATGTTTTGTATAGTATCGAATGAAAATAGAGAATTAAGCATGCGTACAACAGAATTTTTCATGAACGAGCTCCTGTTGTGCAGAGGCTCAAAATATCCAATTAAATATAACTTTACAATGTCTTTGTTTTCTTTACGTGTTTATTATTCTTATTAGTACATCAAGGAAAACAGGAAATTCTGAATAGTTTTGCTCATGATCAGAACATGATCTTGCCTATGATTCAAATGACAGACTTGTGTGATCACTATGTATATCTGCAAAGATATAGAAACGGAAATATAAATACATATAGCTTGCCGTCTTTTTTTTTTTTTTTTTAATTTTTCAGTTTGCTATACATTTACATGTTTACGAGGGCTGTTCGGAGATTATTGAGGCAATGTGTATATTCTTTTTTGTAATGAACGTCTTTCGGTGATTTGCATATACGTTAGAAAAATAATAAAAATTAATAAAAGCAAAAATATTCTATAAATATTTTGTTTCTTCTCAGTGGTATATTTATGTGTCAATGGTAGGGGTACCCGGCGCAGTCACGAAATCAGATGTTGAAAAAAAGTTACTCCAGCGTTCAAACTCCCAGTGGACTCATAGTTAGAGCAAAAATACGAGGGTTAATCCAAAAGTAATGTGACATCTTCGATAAAATTGCTACCAGTTGACGTAAAACAAGAAAATTATAAATGATGGATGATATAAGTATTTAAAATCAGACCTGAAAATTTCAATTCAGGAGGATTTATACTTATCGTGTCACATACAAAGTGCGATTTGGTAGTCGCCGCATCTAAATAGCGTCATATAATCGATAAGTGCCGTCATACATTCAAACGTTTCCCAATAAGAAAATATTAATTCAATTTAATTTAATTCAATTTATGTATATAATTTTTCAATTTAATTTTGACTTCATTTTGTGTAAGTTTGTTAGAATTGCGATCAGAAGTACGGAAATCATAGATAAATTTAAGTGCGGCACGGAAATCTGAGAAGGACGACAAATTGGAATTTGACGTCAAGGTGGCGCAGCGAGCATACCTTTAATTTTGTATAGCGCTATGGAGAACCCTTTTCCAGACTAAACAACCTGCTTAAACGATAACAATGCAAAGATGTGTCTAAAGATTTTATTTTTCATTGGTATATATCTTATTCTTACAAAATGTTCAACAAGAGTAAAAACCAGCGCTCTATACGACCATCAATTATTACGGAGTAAATAACGTCCCGCTGAAAAAATCGGTACTGCGTGATGCTAATTCAACCTGTATATGACACTTTTACACTAAGGTAGCAACAACATACATTTTTTTTTAAAATTTTATTTCTTCAAGAATTGTTTAAGAAAAGAGACAGTTTGATTTTGGGAATGTTATATCTGATAACAGAGAAAGAAGAGTAAACGCTTCCCGATCGTTTCACTTGCAAAAACATTTCTGGCTGACGTGACGTAAAAATGACGTAGCGATGCTGCTCCAGGTCGATAGAAATATGCATGTTTATAATTTCACCGGAACTTGTCTAATTATCCTATAAATTAGAAATTTTGCACATTTCTCTTATTCAATATTTATAAAATGTTGATGAAGTTTCATGAATGGATCTCTGGCCTTTATGTAGTAAAAGTAAATGCCACAATAATTTCCGAACAGCCCTCGTATTCAGTAAAATAGATCAGGGAGTAGCTGGCCAGATTTAACAGTGTTCTTGTATTCAGAGTTCACTGAATATTGTAAATTGATAAAAGGTCGATATCTAAAAAATATGCACCCTCCCTGCACATCTACTTCTTCGTAGAATTTTATTGATATACATTTTTTTTAACTGCAAGTGAATTATTATTATAGAACTTAATATGCAATACGCATACTTATCAAATTAAAATTGCATTTAGTTTTCTACGTTTGTTAAAGAATTAGATAAACAAACTGCCTGATTGAACTTTTGTTAGCCAAATAATAATTGTCGTTCATGTTAGCCTAGTACATGGGGACGCTCAAGGTACATGTTAGCCTAATACAAGAGGAAGCTCAAGGTGCATGTTAGCCTAATACAAAGGAAGGCTCAAGGTACATGTTAGCTTAATACAAGGGAACGCTCAAGGTACATGTTAGCCTAATACAAGGGGACGCTCAAGGTACATGTTAGCCTAATACAAGGGAACGCTCAAGGTACATGTTAGCCTGATACAAGGCGAAGCTCAAGGTACAAGTTAGCCTAATTCAAGGGAACGCTCAAGGTACAATGAGCATAACCCACAACCCATTTTACTTTCTACTTTTGTTATAAAAAAATCATCCGCTATGCAAGCCTATGTAAAAACTATGGTTATAATGAACAGTAAATAGGATTAAAAATTTATTAAAAGAATAAATGTTGGACAAACGGTAAAGCGTCAGAGCAAACACCGACCTCTATAACATCAAAATTGGGATCAGCTGCGAAGAAGAAGTCCCCTGTCGACGGATCACACCCGCCGTGTCCTCAATGTCATGATTGGATAAACGAAGAAATCAGTAGACAATCTGATAAGGTTGTCAAACAATTAATTTGCTCCTGCTGAACAGGTTATCTGCGGAGTTGTTTGTTTTGAAAGGTTCCGAGTTCTAATGAACCTTGTCCCGAGGATTGTAAGTGTTTTAAACACTTTTCTTGATTTAGTGGATGCTTAATGTATTTTTCTTAAATGGTACAATAGACAGACCCCCTTGACGTACACCTTAGTGCCTAAGTGGTTTACCCCTACACTTTTCTTTTGTCTTAAAATTAAGTAAAGTTGAATAAACTTTTTTTATTGTAAGAAATTGTTTTTATACATTAAGTATATACCTAGAATATCTCGAAACTGATTTTAAAAAAAGAAAAAAAAAACATAAAACCTGGGAGCCTTTAGGGGCTTTCCCCCACCTTGAACCTTACGAAGCCTTTGCTCTGGACCCGCTGCAGGATTTTAAGTCGTCGGCAGGCCCCCAGAATGTTGGTCTTCCTCTTTTAAAGAATTTTGGATCCGCTACTGACATCTCAAAATAAAGCTGTACATTTTTATGAACAGGTAATTTATTAGAGAAGTTGAAAAGAAAGAGTTTCTTATAAGATACGGAAGTTCTATGTACTAGGATTTCCTTATGTTTTGGTATCGATTTCTCTAGCCTAGTTGCTATGGCAATTGCTTCGCGATCGGGAAGTTGGAAGTCAATCGCAGTTCTGGCGCCAAGAAAAATCTAAATCAACAAACAAACGTAGGGGCTGTTCTTCAAATCAATCTGCATAAAAAGTGAAAATCTCGACATTGTAATGATATTGTTTTCTTCAGTAACCTGTTGTGTTTATAAACAGGGTAAGATATGTGAGATAAATAATTATAAACATTTTGAAATATATGTGATAAATATATATTACTTCTACCTGTAATTTTGGTTAATCAGTGATAGAAAATCAAACAAAAACATTATACTGTTGGAATTCGAGTCCATGCTCTAAAGAACGGAAAAGAACAGGTCTCAAGATTTCGTTGTAATAGTTCTTTTCGTTACAGGCATCACATTACAAAAACGAATTCAATCGACCTTTCCATGATTTTAAGTACTTCTGCGATCAAGCTACTACGATCAAACTTATATTTCTGCAAAACAGAACTTATGTAAAATATCTTGCCTTACTTTTAACCTGCCATTAAAGAGCTTATGAGTGAATCGAGATTCATCGGTGAACAACGAATAACCGCAGCTTGGATGGCTTCAGCACAGATACTGATTATCCCAGAACAACCATTGCTGTTTATAGTTAGCTATTAACTCAGTCACCTTCTAAGACCTTCTAGCATTACCATTACGAAGGCGGATGCTGATGATTTGAAAAGAAACTAGCATTCCTCCTGCTGGTCATAAATGATCATCAATGCAGATTAATAGCAGAAAACTTTCACACCCTTACGTACTGTGCAATAGGTTCCTATCTTAGCGTCAGTAACTTTTTTTTTCCTCGTCCGTCTTGTGATCAGACTTTACATTACCTAACTATCTGGTAACAAGTCATTGCTAGGCCAATCCAGCTAGGGGGATGTGATGCATCTTAAGTTGCTCAATATTTGTGGAGCGATGAAGACAATTAAATTAGAATAGAGAATTTATTTTTAAAAGGAAACCTATCAATATTGTCATGTCTTTAAGTTATAACCATTTCAGTTGTTTTAAAGGCAGCTGCGGTAAAAGTAAATGTCCGAAGCTTTCTGAATACCTTTTGGATCTATTTTTTAATATGTCTCATGCAAAAAAGAAATCGTTTTCAATGATATTTTCTTTAAAAATAAAACCATTAAATATCGTCATAAATTCATATTTTAATAACATATTACAAGTTAAGTTCCAATTTGATAATATTCGATTATCGGTTGCAAGATCGCTAGAACTTGTATAGGTCCGATAAATAGTGTACTCACCTAGTTAAGAGCATTGTTGAAGAGTGAATGACTGAAGTAACAATGGATGTAAACCAGAAAACAAGGGTTATAAGTACGATTAAGGAAAATATTTTTTTTTTTTTGAATGTTGGAAAATATTTTCATTTTACAGAAAACAAAAACCTGAAGTAAGTCAATTTCTTTCAAGAATTACAAATATAAAGCGTCACCTTCTGTGTATTAACCAGAAGATTTTTAATATTATTTTATCAATATTTGTCATTTATCATCATATATTTATTTCATTTTCAACAGTAAAATACTGTAGTTTATTCATTGAATAAAAGTGATATTCTAACACGATGTGAAAGGGTATCAAAATTGTATTCTCACAGTATGAGAGAATATCAGAATATCAAAAGTGCGGCAAAACTCTCGATTTTCCTTACCTTCACGAAGAGTGTTTAAAAAAAAAAAACTCCCTGGCCTGTCATTAGATAGAGAGAGTAAATTAACCATCCTGACAGAGACTAAAATTGCCATAGTTTCTCCAATTATGTTGTTAAAAATCCATGTTTACAACGTTTTTTATTCTCAATCTCTCAACCGCTACTAAAACCTATGACGATTGTTTAGGTAAGAAAAAAATAGCTTTATATTCCTGACCCAGTTTTTTTTATCATTTCAATTTAATTGTTTTATTGCAAAAAATGTTG